AGCAGCAGCAGCGGTAGCAGAAGCAATGGCAATGACAAAAACAATGATGATGATGATACTGAGAACAATACGAATATACACTAATGTGACTATCCATACTGGCATGAACCATGCATGACAACATCAAAGCTAGTCACAATGACAAATTATTGAACCACAAAACAGACGCACAGACCCCGTCGTAACCCTGACAACGATAATAACCAAAGTGTTTTGTCATAATGGCCAACGCAGCCACAGCACCGTGACTTGAGAGGCTAGACCCTGAAGCCCAGATCTCAGTCCATCTGGAACTATTTTCAGATGGTCAGATGCTTACAAGAAGCCGACCTCGTCGTCCAGGCCGGCGATACAATTCCGCAGCTGCTGAGCATGGCTGGCCCAGGGGCTGGTGATGCCTGCTCTATAGGGATCCTTCCTGGTTCCGAGTACAGGGGCCTTAACAGCTCGAATAGGATTTCGTAGATATGGATAGACATATACATAAGCATGTATGTGATTGTGTTTTTATATATATACATATATACATTTCTACATAAATACATAGATACATATATGCATATATACATATATACATACATACATACATACATTTTCGGCATTTCGGTGCACTCAGTGGCGTACGCTGCTGAATTTAAGATGCAAACGCTCCCATCGCGGCCGTAAAAGGCCTCGAGAGCTCGCAGTCCCAGAAAGACTGCGGGGCCTTCAGCTGTACTTGCCCGCCTGCTACAACTGTACTCCAGGCATCTTTCAAGATCCTGGGTAGGAGGCATGTGGCATTCCTGGCCACGGCCGAAAGGTCTACGACTCTCAGCTCCTCACGCCATTCGGCTTCCCAGCGTGGAGGCAGTTCATGGTGAGTCTTCGACCGGGTCCCGTTGCTCAGGGTGAAGGCCATTAGCTCCATCCAACGGACTTCTGAAACACATCGCTTGAAGTCCTGTAGTGTAGTACTGGAGCTCGATGGTGGTAGCCAGTCAGTGTCTCGGATACTGGTCTGGCATTGGTTGAGGGCAGTAAGAGCTGTCTCGGCCTGTAGCGTCGACCATTCCCTCGTGTCCTCGTCCTTCTGGAGCTCCTGGATCTCGCGCGAGACCGTCATCAAGATGTCCTCTTCCTCGTCGGCGTAGAGGGGGTAGTCCGTGAGGATCTTCAGGAGTTCCGCACTGACTTCATTGGGCTCCCTGCCCAGGTCCACCGCATGGAAGTACTCGCAGATCTTCCTGTAGGCCGTCTTGACAACATCGTGCCAGAACTCTTCTCCTTCTGGGAGCAGGTCTCCGCTCATACGCATCGGGGCTGCCAAGGTGTACTGGTCTACATCAGCCTTGCGGCGGCCCTTGCTTCCAATGCCGTGCCCCACATGGTCAACTCTGTGACCCGCCGCCTGTAGGGACCTCACGCAAGTCGTAGAGGAACGGAGATGTACCCCAAGTCGTCCCTCCGACCAGCATTCAACTCCACAGGCGCGGCAGCGTGTGCCGACCGCGTAGAACCTGTAGGTGGCCACTCGCTTGTGCCGCTTGAAGAGATGGACACTCAGCTGCGCTTTGGTGCCGAAGCATTTGCGGCAGGCTCGGCAACCCCACCGCTCCTGCGGCAGGTCAGCTGCCTTCGGGCGGAGGGCCTCCAAGTCCTTGCTCATGGCCCAGAGGCAAATGTCGATCGCCTCGGCCATTACTCGTCTCTCCTGCTCCGCCGCAGTCTTCGTCTTCACCAGCCGCTTGATTCTCGCCGGTGACTGCTTCAGGATGTGCCACCATTCTGGCCAGGAAGCATCATGCAATCTTGGCCACTGTCGCTCGCATCCCTGTATGGCCCAAGCAAGGTCGTCTCGAACTCTGCACATCCAGTCCTTCTCCTCTTGCAGAGCCGCCCAGAGGAGTCCCGGTCCGGAGGCCACCATGGACACCAGGAAGCTCATCCGCTGTCTGAAAGCCAAGAGTTCCAGGGGGATACAGCCCGTCATCCACATGACCAGCGGCAGCGGGAGGTGGAAGAGAAGGCTGCCCTCGATCTGGTGGGCGAGCAGCCTCCGCACAAGTCTGGCGTGGCCGTTCCTCATGGTGTCCCATGCTTTCCCTGCCGTGTGCCAAATGACCAGGTTGAAGAAGGTCGTGGCGACGGTGATTTCAAAGAGACCCGCCCTCGTGGCAAGCTCGAGGGACCGGTTGTTCAGCAGGAGCGGTTTGGCCGATTCATATGCCTGCGCAGCAAGTGCCAGCCTGTAGCGGGCTTCCGGTTGCAGCGTGAGGCGGTTGTCCAGGATACTTCCCAGATGACGATATTGGCAGACAGTCGGCACATCCATGCCGAGATCATGTAGTCGCAGACTGGCCTTGCCGTTGCCAAAGTATTGTCTCCTTGCCGTAGTTGACCCTGGACCCCTCAGCTGTAACATGAGGCTCGTTTTTCCAACCTTGGTGTTCGGCTGCATGCCATGGGCGAGGAGGGTGCCCAGGACGATCGAAGTCGTTCTAGACGTCTTGGCCAGCAGCCCATGCGGGCTTCGGTCCTCCATGACAAAGGCGGAATCGTCTGCCCAGGTTGCGTCCCAGGCTTGTTGGGGGGTGCCTCCCCCGGCTGAGGGGAAGATTCCAGCTTCCTCCTCCCATTCCAGGCTGAAGTTCAGCCCTTCCGCTTCCAACTGCTCGTGTATCCGATACAGGATTCGGGCATAGATGAAAGCATAGATGACGTCTGCGAAGGATTCTCCTGGACGAGAGCCAGCCCTGGAGTGGCACAGCTTGCCACCGCCAGAGTAAGCGGTAATGAACCAGGTTTTCATGTACATGTCCTTTATGACATGTCGCAGCCTCGCATTGACATCAGCCTGCGCCAACATGCCTCCGCTTCGTATTGTCTCCATCATGTCATGGAGATCTTCGGCGTCCAGGCCGAATTTGGAGAACAGGGAGATCACCTGGGCGTCCGACTCAACACAGCCTGTAGCCAGATCTCTGACAACCCTGTAATATGCCGACTTGGTGTCGACGAATAAAGCAGAGGAGCTATACCCCAGCTTCTGGCATCGTCGCATCTGCGTCACCACAAACATTGATGGAAATGCCACCGGAGATCGTTTGCGGGTCCCGCAATGCAGCGGGTGCAGCAGTCCGTCAATCTGCGGTCCAATCATAGTTCGCACCGCCTTGTGGTAGGCCTTGCCTATGAAGGATGATATGAAGAGGCTGCGGTAGCCTTCAACATCCGCAGGCGTTCCAGCATTCTTGAAAGCTTCAAAGAGCAGCCCACCTCTCCACTGAGTTGGCTGCGCTCCCCGTAGCATGGACTTGACGAAAAGAGGCTGCGCTGCAGCCGCGAGGGCCACGGGGGCAGCCGCCAGTAGGTCGCTGGGGATTCCGTCCAGCCCGCACGCTTTCCCTTTGGGAGTTCGCCTCATCGTCTCCTCGATGAGGCTCAAAGTCGGAAGGTCGCCTATCTCCCAATGGAGGGAGGTGTCAACACACATCTTTTCCTCCTGGCGTAGGAATTCGTCGACCGTGACAATGTCGCCTTGCTCCTGGTCCCCGAAGTACTTCAGCCACACATTGTCTCTGTCACTCCTGCATGTAGTAGGCTGACCTGTGTCCGGGTCCATCAGCACCGGTAGGTGGCGACGTACTGGTTGGGCTCTTTTTCCTCCAAAGCCCGCCTTCTTGACCCGTTGGAGCACCTGTATGACACCCTGGTGTCCCTCCCCCGCGACTTGCTGAAGGCTAGCATTTTTGGCTTTGGCAATCATGTCCCTCATCCTTCGGGTGGCCACAGTGATAGCCGCTGCCGCCAGGTTATAGAGGAAGCCCTCCTTGTGGGTCAGGAACTCCACGCCGAAGGAGGTGTCATGGGCCCATTGCAGGAAGGCTCGTCCCACTACTTCCCGCCATAGGTGGCGCCTGTGTCGCACACGGCGCTTGAAGAGATTCTTGATCTCTCGTAGTTGCCACACCTTGTCCGGGATGAAGCTGGCTCGTCGGCGAGCTTCCGGAGGAGGGAACTTCTCAGTCATCATCCCCACGAGGAATTCCTGTAGGATCTGGCAATGCTCGTCAACAGGGGTGTCCCATTTGGGCTGCTCAAACTGTTGTAGGGCTCGATCAAGCGTGATCTTGCCCTCGGGGGTGTGCATCTTGTCTCTATCGTACCGAGGCCTCCACAGTCTGCGGGCACCAGTCGCCCCTTCCAACTGCCCATGACACTGGACTCGTAAGAGATGGTGGTCGACGTTGGGGCTGCCGTTGTCAAAGTCAAAGCAGACCTCACTATTAGCTCCCCGGACATCGCCCCTTCCACCGAGGGCAATGTAGTCGAGCCTGTGGCTTGTTCCAGTTGGGTGGTGGTAGGTCTCGTTGGCACCCTCGTGGATCCCCCCGTAGGTGGATGGGATCCATGCCCCGATGTTGTACATCGTCTCCACGAACTTCCATCCGGCATCATCCGGCTCTCCACATTCGAGGTCACCTGTAACTCCGGTGTATCCCGCTGGGACTCGTCCATTAAGGTCGAGCCCGCAGAAGAGGAGTTGTACATCCTTGAGCTTCACTGTGACCTTGTCGAGCAGCTGCAGAAAGTCCCTCCGCTGCTCTATCAGGCTTTGGTGCGGGCAGTGTCCCGCAATCAAGGCCATTTTGGTGCTTCCCACATTGACCGCCATCGCCAGTAGTCGGCAGTCCTGGTGGTGGATGGTGATATCCGCCTCGTCCGGGATGATCGGCTTGTCGTCCACCTTGAGGAGCCCCCGTACTCTATGAATCCAGACCGCAACTCCCCAATGTCGATTGGACTCCGTGGCATAGCGGGCATACAGACTGGAACGGCAGTGTCCTCCTCCACTCTTCGTTTCCTGGATGAAGACGATGTTCAGGCCAAGTTGATCGCACTGTTCCTCCAGGAATTTGTAGTTGTTCTGAATGCCCTGCACATTGACCGTAGCCATGGCAACCTCGAAGCTGCTTCGGTCATCCTCAGCACCCCTTGGGCCATTCGTCCGTATGAGCTGATGTGGGGCAAGTTGGTAGTCGTTAGCCTCGTAGTCGCGCCATTGTAGGGAGTACCGGTCAATGCTCAGTGCCCCGGTTCTTCGTGCCGCCAACTCTGTAGCAATCCAGGAGAGGTCCTGGTTGTGGAAGCTCGTGACCGTGGTGGCCGGCGGGCCATAGAGCCCTCCTCTCCCTTGAGAGGCATGTTTCGCGACAGCATCGGCGAGCTCGTTCCACCCATGTCCTTGATGCGCTTTGACATGGGCCATGGCCAAGGGGTACATGGAGGATTCCTGAATAATCTGCTCGAGCTCTCTGATTTTTGCCCCATAGGCGTCACTCGCACTCCACTGTCCCGTCGCCGCCTGGCCCGCGGCTAGGCAATCGTAGTGTACAGTGGCTTTGAGCTCCGGATGCAGGCCTCGGAACTGGAGCAGCCAAAGCATCGCCGCCGCCAGCGCGATCTGCTCCGTCCGCAGAGCAACAGGGTCGTCAACTGGCCATAGGCTCCGTCCGCCCCCAAGGACCTGCTCTCCCAAAAGTCCTAGGAGAGCAACCATCGCGCCACACTTGAGAAGCAGTACCACGCCGTAGCCAGCTGTACCCCGCCTCTCGTCCGCGGACCCATCAGTATAGATGTGCACCTCTGGGCGGTCACAATGAGCTCTGGTCGTAAGCAGATCCGACCAGTGCACTGTATCCTTGAGGGCCTCACGGGCCGCTCGGGGGATCTGCACATTGGATAGATCCCAATTCAACCACTCAGGGCTCCATGTCTGGTAGAGCCAGCGGACCTGGAGCCAGTCGTGCGGGAAGCTGATGCTGGAGGCTGTCAGGTCACAGACCTCTCGTAGATCCGCTGTGGCAAGCTCGATGGTCGCCACCTCCCGGTTCTGTAGTCTTTCTGTGTCCCTCCTGGGCGATCGGCTACGGTCCACAGGTTGTGGTGGGGGTGGCCCGTTCAGTCGTTGGCCAGGCTCATTGTTCCGACTGCCGCTGCTGTCCTCGTCCTCTGCAGCGCGGTCAGATGAAGGGCTACCCGTGTCGCTCATGCTCTCGGTCTCCTCCTCCTCTGACGTAGACATAGAACTGGAGGGGACCATGTGCATACGGATGATCTCGCCATCTCTGACCCTGACCTGATTGTCACCAAGAGCTTCCCCTCCACCTATGACCAAAGTCCAATTGTTGACCTCCGGGACTTGGAGGTCTTCGTAGTAGAGAACCGGGTCAAAGATGGCCCCCGGTACTCGTACCCACTGGGGGAAGCATGCTAGTCCTCTGGCGTCCACGAAGATGTAGGGCGAGTCTGGCCCTCTCGGCCAGTCCTGATCCACGACAGCGATTTGCTGGCTGATGTGCCTCCCAGCCATCTCCAGCCTTTCCGGGGGCTCTTCCGGGAACTTGAGGTACCTGACATTGTCAAACCATTCGTGGGCCGTGTCCATGTAGCTCTTTGGCTCCTCCAGGTCGTCCTCAATGACCAGCTGATCACCCGGCGACTGGTACACATTGAAGGTGCCTTCTATGGGCCCAGGAATTTCTCCATGTGGGTCCCATAGCTCGTCATCTTCCAGCCGGAGATCCAGCTCTGTGCTCCATTCGCAGACTTCTCCCCGTGGGAGAACTTTGATCAATCCTCCGTGGACCGGTTCTACTGGAAACCCAGTGAGTAGGGGGAGCTGCCCGCCGAAGACAAAGACGTCCACATCCGGCAGGTCATAGTCCTCAATGTGTTTGAGCACCTTCTCCCTGCTGACCATCCCCTCGTTGTGCACTGTGAACACCGTTCCTCCCAGGCTGCGTGTGTCCAGCACCAGGACGGAGCGCCCCGCCTGACTCAGCCATCCGGGGGCAGCAACGAAGCTTGCGAAGTGCCCCTCCACTTGGGGGACCGTCGGTGTGAGCTCGTCGGCAAAGTCCGGGACAATGGTGAAGGACTCCGCCAGGGCCCGTTTGAGCCGGTTGATGGTGACCGGGAAGCCAATCTCCAGGTCCACCACTTCAGCTTCAAAGAACGGTGTTGAAGCCCACATTGAAATGTGGACTGCATTCCACGGGACAACCCTGACAGGCTCCTCCTCGGCCTGCTCAGAGATCGGTCGGCGTAGGTCAGGGGGTGGGGCCTCTCCTCTGGACCTCTCCAGAGGTCTCGTTAAGGCCTCTCTAGCTTCCGCTGCAGCGAACTGTTCCCGTAGGGTCCGTAGCCCGCTGGTCCATATCTCCAGGTCTGTCGGCTGTTGTGGCCTTCGATGAGGTTGTCGAGGTGGGTCCTCGCTCGTCGCCTTCGCCGTCGTAATGACCACAGCGCAGGCGCAGAGCCTCCCCATCGGTCCGCGCATCACCCGTCCCCCCGGACAGGTCCCGCCAAGCAACAGGAGGAAGAGGAGACAGAGCTGTATCGCCATGAGGGTCTCAATGCATCCCCATGCCCCTCGATACAGCGCTGCTCCCCAGTGGCTGAGGAGGTCGTCCAGGTATTCCATGACCGTCTCCTGGATGTCGATGAGGTCGTAGTAGGTCCGACCTGGGTGGCTTCTATGGCTATAGGCTGTGCGTCGGTCGTGGCCTCCCTCGGGGCCGTGCCGCACACGTCTGCTTGTCTCGCACGGCTGCTGCCCATTGTCGTTGCAGCAGGCATGCCATCGGCGCCAACCAGCGCCACCACGTTGTTTTCCTCCGGGGTCTCGGGGAACAGGCCGAAAAAGTCCCCGTTGAAGAAAATTTGTAGTCAGCAAAATGCTGCTCATATCGGGCAGTGTGGCCCCTGCTACTCGACCATCTCCTCCTTGAGTTCCGGCAGTGGCTGGCCCAATCCTCCCACCAGGTCTTCCTCGGAGTCCGAGATGCTGTGCATCTCTGCACGCCGTTTCTCCTCCAGCTTCTTGGAGCATGCACTCTCCTTGTCCCGTCGTTTGATTGGCCTCCGGCCAACACACTTGATGGGTGTCCGTGCCGTGGATCGCGACTTGGAACGTAGGGGTGAGGGCATGACCCCTGTCAGCGACGGGGAGGCAATGTAGGGCTCCTTGGTGTCCATCCCATCGTTGCCATCCGACCTCGCGCCCCTGGCTGGTGCAGCCATGTTGGACGGGGGCGTGGCCGCAATGTATGTGGAAGATCTTCTGGTCGGGGTCGTCGGTGGCTCCTTCCGTCGTTGCTTGTCGATGGCCGCCAAGAGCTTGTTGCGGTGCTCCTTGTTCTCCAGGCCGCCCACCTTGAGTGCATCTTCTAGTAGGGCCGTGATCCCACTCTCCCGTCTCGGTGGTGAGGCCAGGAGCTGCGCAAGCTCCTCGAGCGCATCGGCGTTGTCCGGCTCGTCCCTGCGCCTGAAGATCGTCTTGGGCTCCGCAATCGCCGCCTTCAGTTCCTGGAGGGCCTCTTCCTTGAGTCTGCTCTGCTCCTCCATTTCCTGGTTGAGCCTTGCTACCTTCTCGTGGTGCTTCGCTCTCTCCTTGATGAAGGCCTCTCTGAGGGAGCGCTGGAACTCCTCCCACTTGGCGTCTGTCTCGTCTTTGGCCTCCTCGATCTTTCTCATTCGGACCTCGGCCTTCCTGAAGCCATTCAGCATCCGCTGGATGCCCTTGGTGTACTCCCCGGCCGGCAGGTCTGTTTCGCCATCGGTCTCCGCGGTGTTCTTCTGCGTGTTCTCGGCCTTGAGCTTGGGCTTCATGGTCTCGTAGGAGGGGAACTTCTGGCTGTGATCCTCCCTGCTGTGGTCTTGCTGCCGTCGCTCCTCCTGGTGCCACCTGCCCGTGCCCTGGTAGCTGTGCGATGCACCACGCTGCTGCCAGCCACCAGCGGAGTCGCTTGACCCGCCTTGCCATGTCTGCCACTTCTTTCCTCGGCCTCCCATCCGCAGCTCCCTGAATTGCGGTGCCGAGTGATGCCCTGCAAGTATGCAGAGCGACCGAAGTGGAGGCAGCTTTGCCTGAGAGCGGGCTGTATGCACCCGTTTCCGATGCAGAGACCTCTTCGCCCTGAGGCGTCGGTGCCAGCTCGGCGATTTGGGGTGGCCCGGTATGGCTCGAAGAAAACGTGCTACTCTAGCACCCTGGGGTTACCGGCAATGCGCAGCCTCCAGCCGCACTCGATCCGAAATCCCTACATACATACATACATACATACATACATACATACATACATACATACATACATAGATACATACATACATACATACATACATACATACATACATACATACATACATACATCGTGAACTTCGACGTGTTGGGGCTCGGGTTGGGTTGCGGGCTGGGGCTTTGGCTGTGGGCTTTGGAGCTTGGGTTTGGAGTTTGAGCCTGGATTTTCTCGCGGTTCACCAAAGAATCTATACTCTATGGCTATTTTGGGACTTCTACATTGAGACTCTCAATCTTGCTGCTCCAGGGCATACACCTCTTCTTCCGAAACCCAGCCTGGACCTTCTAAGAATCTCTCGGCCAGGCTGCCAATTTGTAAAGAAGCTCCGCCGGCGCTCACGAAGCCCATGGGACCCTGTTTCATCTTCTGGTACTTCTGGGAAGCCTGGAGAGGGTGCTCTGAAGCCCGTCTGCAAGGACCGGGGGGACTGGAGAAGTCATAATGTAGGGACCTTCATAATTAGAATAGGGTTTTGGGGTATATGATACTATAATTACAATAAGGACCCCCAAAAATAGTATAGGTAATTAGTAAGGCCCCTATGTTATTCTTATTCGCCAGTCCCTTTATTTGAGGCTGTCCGGTTCTACTTAGTTCACTGATCCTCTCAAGGAGGCGCGCACGGGCGTCGGGCAGGCATCTTACTGAATGTTCAGGCACCGTTCGTCGAATCTCGAAACCCAACCTTCGTTCAAAGGGATCTACAAGGGTTTCTTTAAGGGTACTTTAAGGGTTCTGGTTCCTATAAACCCTAAACCCTAAAGCCTAAACAATAAACCGTCCCTGTTAGGGTCAGTTCTGACGATTATGAAGATGTCATGATGTAGTAATATAGATCGTGCTTAGGCTTTTAGGGTTTAGGGTTTAGGGTTTCGGGTTTAGGGTTTAGGGTTTAGCGTATGTCGCCAAATTCCCATATACGGCATTCATGTTGCAAGAAAGAGCGAAACACGGTTTGGCGCGAAGCTCCTACTCCATCCCAGGTGCGTCAAGCCTCTGCGCAAGTGCGAAGCGTTAAGCTCAACTCGAGAGACCGGTCCTGCCTAGGTCTGCCGGGATGGGTGCAGACTGCCCCGAAGCCCAGAGACTCCAATACCCCTGAATTAAGGAACATACCTTAAATCATATTAGGGATCCTACTATAGTTTAAGGTATATTCCTTAATTAAGGGGTATTGGAGTCTCTTAGAGTATTTAGCCCCGTGAACCCTGAGCGCTCCTCGTCCAGGGACATGAGGTAAGCCCCCATCTCATAGACGGCTTCCAGCGAGCCGGGGAGCGTGCGGCAGCCATCCGTCTCGTTGCGCCTCGGCGTCCGGAAGAATGGCGAAGCTCTCGCTTCTCAAATTTTAGTCAGAAACATGAGAATCAGGATAGAAAACCTAAACTCCAAGCCCTAAACCCTAGTGGCAGCACTAAAGGCACTGAAATTAAGTAGCACCCTCAAAAAATACCCCAGGCCCTCAGAATGATGGAAGTCTGGATTTTAGGGTTTACGCTCTAGCAGTCCGAGGTCTGGGTTTCAGGCTTTAGGGGTTTCGATTCATAGGGGTTTAGGGTTTAGGGTTTAGGGTTTAGGGTTTAGGGTTTAGGGTTTTCAGGGCTTAGTTAGGGCTGCTTCAGTTGGGGCTCTGCTTGCTGCATTTGTAAAGAAGCCCCTGTAGGCCGCCCCTGTCCACCGGCACGTCCCCAAGGCGCCGCACTTCCTGAGCTCTTCCTAACGGCAGGGGCTAGAGTTTAGGGCTTAGGGGCCGTAAGAATTAGAATTGGGCCACTCCAAGGCATACGATAGTACAACTATTTGGGGAGCATACTTGAATTATAGTATTATCCACTATTCCAACCTCTATGCTACTGGCCCGGGCACTAAGGGGGGGGTATGAAACAACAGAGCACCCAGTAGAGTCTTCCCGAAATACTAAAGCACAAACTTGAAAAAAAAACAGCTCTGTAACGTTGGAACCCGACCAAGAAACCTTGGCCCTATCATCCCAAAACTAATAGGATTCATGCAGAGAACCTCAATAGAGACCTAGGGTTTGTTAATCTGGGGTTTAGGGTTTCGGGTTGGATTCCTATATTACCCACAGGCCTGAAGCTTCAACCTGCAACACGCCCCGGCCACACAAAAAGGCTGCAAGCTGACGCATCTTGCATTGGCATGGAGTTATGTCCCTCCAGTTTCCATCCTAGAAGCTGTCTGCCTTGCTGGTCTTACTGCATTACTTCGACTTCTTAACAGCGGAAAAAATCCCTTCCAGAGTCCATTGACAGCTGCCTCTTGCCCAAAGCCAGGCACCCCTGAACCATCGACCCTCCTGAAAGGAACAAGCAGAGGAATCCCAGATAAGCCGCGGCAAAAAGCCTCTCTGCGTTCTCCACTTCCAGACGATGCCCTGCAGTAGAAAGGATCTCCCAGGCGTTCCTGTTCGCGTTGGGCTCAGCGCCAATCGAGATAGGGTTTAGGGTTTAGGGTTTCGACTCTCACACTCGCACAAGGCCGGCAAGGCTCCGGTTTAGGGTTTAGGGTTTAGGGTTAGTGCCTTTGGGCTTTCGGTGTTGCGTGCTGGGTTTAGGGCCCTGGCTATCTAGAAGACGTGCGCCAACGAAGGGGTCCCACGTCGTCCCACCTTAACCCGGATTACCCTTGCTGAATGGACCCCAAGCCCTGCAGAACGGCCCCGCTCAAGTAGGCCTGAAGTCTCAGTGGGCATCCGACCCCGGAACCCCGAGACCCCAAACCCAAGAGCACGGTCAATCATTAGTGGGTCGAACGTTGTGTGTTGCCGACAAAAGGGCCTTTCTGACTTTATGCAAACAAGAACTGGCTTTGATCCACACAAGGATGCATTTACGTACAAAACACCGCTTGGGATTCGAACAGAGATGGCAACAGCCACAGCTGACCTCGCAATCCTTATGATGATCAAGATCACGAGGGCAGTCGTGCGATTTCTTCAATACCACAACGCAACTACCAAAGCCACAAGCCACCATTATCATGAAAAAATTCAATCTAATACATTTTCCCAGGCCCTCAAATGCCAAACCCGAAAAAACCTCAAACCCTACGAAACCCCAGACCAGACACCTGATAAACCCCTTCGAAAACCCCTTTCTAAAAAAAAAACTCTGTGAAGCCGAATGATAGGAGTTAGGATTCGGGGGACCTTTGGAGATGTAGACCCTCTCAAAAGGGGTCTCCCAAATACTACCTAGGAGAATACGATAGGGGCCTCAATGAATAGAATAGGGTTTTGGTGTCCTTCTGAATACAATTGTGATAAGGAAACGCCCAAATAATGTAGGTAAATATTGAAGCCCCTGTAACGGCCCCTGTATTACACACCACAAGATTGCTAGGCATAACTATAATAAGGAACCCCCAAATTAATATAGGTAATTCTTGAGGCCCCTATAGCACACACCCTCTAAAACCCGGTAAATTTTCCAGGGCCCTGGCTTCGCCACCCAACGACGGCCGGGCTTCTCCAGTTCCTGCGCGAGCCTGGGAACCGCTCTGAATAAGGGGCTTAGGGGTTTAGGGGTTGATGGGTTTAGGGTTTAGGGCTTGGGGCGTCAGGTCGTGACATTTCGCTTTTTTGGTTTTGGGGCTTCGGGTTTGGGGTTTAGGGCCTCAGTTCTGGAGCTTTTGAGGCTTTGGGGGTTGGGGGCCAGAGGGTTTTGGAGTCGGCCAGGCCGACTGAAACGGCGGGTTTACGGCTTCAGAGTTCAGGCTGACAGCGCCCAGGCCCAAATGCCCCCTTAGCTAAGCAATATACCTAGATCTCAACAAGGAGTCCTCTATGAGTTGAGGTGCATGTCTCACTGTATTACTTGAAGCTTAGTAAGCTTTATCTATTTCTTGTGCGCGTGCGTGTTCGTGTGGCTAGGGATTAGGCCGCGCTGATTGGTCCGTGGCTTAGTAGCTCAGAAGAGTTCCAACTCATATCCTCCAACCAACCAGAAGCGGGGAGCTCGGCATCCAGCATTCCTAACTAGGATGAGCCAGGTAGTCAGGACTCAAAGCACCAACCGCAAAGGTACATTCTTATTAGATTTAAACATATATATATATATATATACATATGTAACACTTCCAAAGTAGTCACCACCTCCGAAGTGCCGGCCAACGCAAGGACAAGAACTCTGCACATGCTGAGGCCGCCCTAAACCCCAAACCCCCAAAGCCTGAGCCTTACACCCTAAAGCCGATCCCATGCGAGACACACCTAGACGATCGGGCACAGTGCGTCCCCAGAACAGAAATGCGAAAAACACCCGCGCCCTAGGAGTTGACACCAGGGCTTCGGGGTGAAGGTTTGGAGCGCCATGTGCAGAAAGGCTAGGTCTTATAGGGTTTAGGGTTTAGGGTTTAGGGATTAGGGTTTAGGGTTTAGGGTTTACGGACGGATTCTTCCCAAGTAGCTTGTTGAGCTCGGGTCCCAGTTTCGTTGCGTTAGACTTCGCGGTGAGGCTGAGCTTCACAGAAACGGCCTGATCTCAGGGGCCTCATACGGTGGCATGAAGGTCGCTAGGCCAAAGGACCCCTTGTAGAAGGACCCTTCTTTGGGTCTTTGATCTCATCAAGCCCTAGAGTAGCAGTTTCCGGTAGATAGATAGATAGATAGATAGATAGATAGATAGATGAATATATGGATAGATAGATGGATGGATAGATAGATAGATGGAAGGATGGATAGATAGATGGATAGATAGATGGATAGATAGACAGATAAGTAGATACTTAGATAGGAAAATAGGTAGACAGACATAGACAGATAGATAGGTACATAAATAGACAGACAGATAGACAGATAGACAGAAAGATAGATGGATAGACAGATAGACAGATAGACGGAGAGATAGATAGATAGACAGATAGACAGACAGACAGACAGACAGACAGACAGACAGACAGATAGACAGATAGATAGGTAGATAGATAGAAAGATAGACAGATAAACAGATAAACAGATAGACAGATGGACAGACAGACAGATAGACAGATAGACAGACAGACAGATAGACAGATAGACAGATAGACAGACAGACAGATAGACAGATAGACAGATAGGCAGATAGATAGATGGACAGATAGAAAGAGAGATAGATAGATAGATGGATGGATAGATAGATAGATAGATAGATAGACAGAGAGATAGATAGATACATAGACAGATAGACAGATAGACAGATAGACAGATAGATTGGCAGATAGATAGGTAGGTAGATAGGTAGATAGGTAGATAGGTAGATAGGTAGATAGGTAGATAGGTAGATAGGTAGATAGATACA